AGGCAATACAATTCTCTGATGGCACAAAACAAAAGCAAGGGGGCATGGAGACAGACAATTGATGAGTATTTTAGGATAGAGAGACAAGAGAGGAAGGACGTCCAGGAGTGAGTGTTAGTGGGCCTGGAGCAGACGCTGAAAGCAATGGAGGAGCAAGCCAAGATGAAGTCCCTAATCATGCTGCAGGCAGAATACTAGCCTGTTTGCCTTCCCTCTTCCCCTCAGAAGCCCACACAGAGTTGTCTGCCATGTCTTCCCCAAGTCTCTCCCACACATTCCTTGCATCTTCTTGGCCTGTCGCAGTATTCTGTTCACTCCACCCCTTTCGACCACTTCCAAAATGATACGTGGAGTTCCACACAGATTTGAAAGCCTCCATGAGGAGGCTGCCCTGTTGTCTCCCTTTCCACCTGGCATTTGCTGTATGTTGTTAATTGCAATTTAATAAAAATATTCTCAGAAAGCTGATGAAGCTATATTTGTCTTCTGCACATGATGGCTAGTGATGGAATTAATATGAAGTGGCAACAGGCACATATGCAGACTCCAAATCATGGATGCGATGGTTGGTCCATGTCTTACAAAAGGACAGGACACGCTAATGCAAAGAAGTATAAAAATGGTACAATATATAAGGTCCTGTTTGGGGCTCTTCATTTTGGGGCATTGGAGAAATGGGAAGGCCATAGGTTCCTTCCGTTCTTATTTGAAAAAAGTTTCTTAGATGTTCCTTCAGGGCAGTAGCCAGTCTATGGAATGGACTCTGCATGGAACTGGATGGAATGCATATTCACATTTAATGCCTTTGTCATGCCAGGAATGATGTAATGAAATCTCTTCTCCATTCACAGGACTCTCAAATCTAACTTGTTCTTATGACTCGCGGGCGACTCTCTTTTGCACCTGGGCTCCAGACAGCCGTTTCACAGAAGCACCTTGCCGACTTCATGCCTTTTTTCATGATGATATTGATGGGTATGTGGCTGAAATTATTTAGTAAAACCAATTGGTGTCAAGCTCTAATTGTCATCATGACATCCTTTCATTCTGCGCGCACGCACACACAGTTTCCCAGGAGACCCTAAACATAAGGCCAGATCCTCAGCTGGTGTAACGTGATTGACTGCAATGGAGCTGCACACGTTGAAACTTGCTAAGGAGATGGGCCTCTGAATCCTCTTCCCCGTCCCTTCCCGCACCTGTATGATAGCTAAAATGTAGGCCAGCTACTTATGTATCTCTCCACTTTTCAGTGGCAATTCAGAGTCAGCTTTTCCCTGCCTTCCTGTTTCTGTAATCAATTTATTCTCCAAAGAGCTCCACTCTTCCTGGGCTGTCCTGTTCCCAGGCCATAGAGCAAGGGCACTAATAACTAGACTGGGGCTTGCCGGTCTGCAGAGAGAAGATGGAAGTAGTTTTACATGGATCATAACACTCTTCTACTGAAGGGATGGGCTCCCTCATGAATGTTCCATCACAGGCAGCAACGTGAGGCGTTCTCTGGGTCAAACATGCTTCCCCCACCATAGTATCTGCTAACCTTTCCCCCTTCTCAATCCACCATATTACCCTTCCCTAGCACCTTCATGACCTGCTCCCCACTGCAGGGGTGGCAGGCAGGGGCTCTGTGGTCTCTAGCTACAGGGTTTTGGTGAGGAGAGGGGCCAACCCCCTTTGGTGGTTTGGAGGATGCTCATTTGAGCAACAGCTCTGCACTGGTTCTTGCGGATGGTGGCTCCCCACTGACAGCTGGTGGCTTCCCTTAGATGCTGTGGGTGTGTCCACTATGGCAGCAGGTTTGCCATGGCTGGTGTGTGAGGTGGAAAGTGGGCTCCAGACACCAGCCCGGTATTAGGAGTTTGAACTGTGAGGAACTGGGCCGGCCAGCACCGGTGGGGAGAGAGGCAGGTGGCAGTGGCTAGAGGTCTCCCAATGAGCAGAGCACCAGTTTCACTCCATCTCTTCCTGCTCTAGTGCCTGGTGGGGTATATAGGAGAGACAATGAGGCGCAGCCTCTCGGTGCTCCCAGCGGCACTGCAGAGGGATGCAGGAGGCATTTCCTCTTGCAGCGGCTGCCCCCGGCGGGG